GTAAACTCAGGTCAATCCCTTTTATTTAAATTAGAAATTTCTATCTGCTTGGCAATACATAAAAATGGTATGGAGAATTTATGCCATGATAAATCTTGGAAAATAAAAAAATTAAGTGAACTATACATTTTGAGAGGAAGGTTGCATCTCTAAATCCTCTCATATGGGAACCCATGGCTGCGAATTTGATTGCTTTGTGTGCAATTACCATTTACTAGAGAGTATATTATCATTTTGTGATCGCAGCCAATTTCCATAAAAGACCTTGGAAGTTAAAGGGGTTAACTGGGCTGAATTAGGTTTGCGTGGTATAAAGTTTTCAAATTGTGATTTCCAAGTATACTCCCACTTCTGCATTTTCCATGCACATGAAAAGTGCACCTGTAAAAATTTAAGTCTGAATACATTTCTTTTAACTCTGTAATTACGTAATGGAGACATAAGCAAGTATTAACCACCCATGTTGGATTTGTTACTGACAATGTGCCTAGTTCCTAATGATAAAAAGAACACATTCAATAAGGCAGAAAGGCTGAATGAGTGGAAGTACTATACAGAGTACAAGTTAAAAACAAGTTCTCAGCTAACATTAATAAGGATCTTTAGCATACTGGTTTGATTCATTTACTCTTTAACCACCAAGATCTGATTGCTAACTCTCCCCTCTAGCTCCTAGACATTTCTTTGTAAATAAGTGATGAGAATTTGCTGTAAGATCAAGATAAGTTTGAGTATTCTCATTACCAGTTTGCTTGATAACGTAAGGATATTATAGGGAGAAGTTACATATTAATCATTCCTTTGTTAGTAATTAGGGTATGTGCATAAAGATGCAATCAACAGGGTGGGGGGAGGGGTGAGGAGGGAGAAGTTCCCTATAAAAGAACAATGGGAGAGATCATTGTTATCTTTAAGAACTAAGAAAAGTGATGGATATCAATTTAGATTGTTGTGTATAAAATGCTGTGAAAAATGTTTAATAATCACAAGCCTCTGGTGAATGAAGTCAGTGATATAAACACACAAGGCAGTTAACTACGTAACATTTGCATAATTGTGTTCTTTTTATTTTATGATGGTTGGAGTGGTCAGAACTGTTGCCAAATAAAACTTGGTAATAAAACCATGAGCTGCAATTCTACCCATTTTCTTCTACTGCATGATAGTCTCATTAAATTATTAATCCTCTCGATGTCATCTGTTTGTAAGAAAGAAGTGAATATTGTTTCCGCACACCACGAATGCGACTGTACATGCTCCGTACATGCGATTGTACATACTTTGGAAAACAACAAAAAATATTCAGGGATCGTGTTCAAAGAAATATCGGAATTTCACATATCGTCAAACCTACTTGTACCACCAAAATTATCCATTACATTGAATCTTACTTCAAGACACTGGGAATCAATCCTTTCTAAAATCCTCTCACTCCATCCTGCCTGAGATTTTAAAAGAAAATCGCAGTGAAAAGAGATCAGACACATATCAAAATGCCCAATAGGTAGGCAAAATTATCTCAGGAATGGCAAAAAATTTGGTTAAAACTTCACTCCTAAATCGTGCACTTGATCAAAGGAAGTTAATAAGAGAATTTGCCTGTGTTGTCCAAAGATCTCGGCTCAGTTCACCGCCGAGTTCTGTCCAGTCAAACATATGGATTTTCTTCGCAACCGCCAAACCAACGGGATGAAAATACCTTTAAATACCGATTACTTTTCCAACCGCACACCTTTTCTTTAACATGTTACCGTATTGTTATTATAGAGGTGAATTGCCAATCAGTTGGCATTCTAAGCCCAGAGATTGTCTTGAGCTTTACTTTGAGCCCTACTGGTGAAATGAGAGTGACTTTGCTCTGGGCTGAGAGCTCATTACCTTCTATCAAAATCAAGACACCTGACATCTCCACAAATGTTAATGAGTGAAAATAAATGATTATTGCACTTAGGTAACCTGGCCCAAACCACCAAAACTTTCCCCCACATAATCCCAAAAATAACGCAACACAATCATGTATTCGCCAAATCATTATCTATTTGTTTAGAATTAATCAGCGCACTAGGACAAATATGGAAAGGCTATCGGGTATCAAGTCAATTAACATCCGATAACATCTCGAACTGTGAACAGGATCCTGTTCCAAACGTCGTGCTACTGCCGTGCCGAACTCAAATTAAATAGTTATTTCGATTTAAGCACGGCAGTAGCACGCCGTTTGAAACCATTAAGCGCGGCACGGCTGAATTAGGTTCGGCACGACTACTTAGCACGGCAGACCTTGCCGTGCCGCACGGCAGTAGCACGACTTGGTTTCAAACGTTGTGCTACTGTCGCGCCGAACTCAATTCATAAATTAATTTAACGTATTTTCCATTATTTGCATACTATTACGCATGCGCACTAATAAAAAAAGACAAATGGCGTCGTGGCGCAAAAATCTACCCGTTTTGCCCGAAAGCTTGAGAGAAGAGGAATCCGACGGTGACAATAGCTCCGTCGACGTTTCCCGAACTTTTTTAAAGAGATATTCACCTGCATCATTCGACAGCTATTCTCCAGATAACGACAAAGAGACTGATTCAAACGAATCCGACACAGGAGTCAGTGAACAGAGTGAAGTGTACAGCTCGAGGAAAAAGAAGCGAAAGGAACGGAGAAGCGTATGGGAAGAGCGACATGTCAATGATTTAGTAGATGTGATATGTAGTAACGAGTACTATAAGAAGAAGTTGATTTTCCCGAACACGAAAAATTCGAAGAACGCAGAAATATATGCTAATGTGCTCAAAGATTTGGGCCAGAGATATGAAGATGGTAGCTTCCCGTTTAGCGTAGATCAGCTCAGGAACAAGTTCAAGAAATGCATATCCGAATGCAAAAAAATTGCATTGACTGTCAAGACCTCGACGGGCGTAAAAAGGGTTCAAGATGAAAAGCAGCTGAGAGCCTGGTTTAATCAACTATTTCCACTGGTTCAAACAAGGGATGCATGTAACCCTGACATGGCAGTAGAGTCTTCTTCATCACTGCAGTTGTCGGACGGGGAGCCAGTGAAAAGAGCATCAGATAACAGAACCCCCACTGATGAGCAATCAAGTGACGGTTTTGACCAAGGTGACGACTCTGACAAGAAAGAATTTGTGCCTATAAGGAAGGGTAGAAGAAAGAAGGTCAAATCTCAGAACTATTCTAGTGCTTTGTCCACTGCTGTAGAGCTTTTTGAAAAAGTGGTTAATAATGACCCAACAACACAGCTGATGCATTTTTTCAAAGAGGAGAATCAGCGAGCTCGTGAGCATGAATTAAAGTTAATGAACTCTTCATGTCACAAAGACAGCCCACAGTTAGTTATTCTGTAGGTTCATCCGCTATGATTTCCCAGGAAGAAGCCCCAGCCCATTTGCAGGATCTA